GCAACTCATCTTCATCTCCTCATTTTCAATAATTTAGGGTTGCGGAATGCGCGTGTGCAGTGACTGCGCTCGGGGCACCAAAAATGATTTTTTCTAATCCCATTATGTTCCTGCTTTCTTGGATGCTGCCCACTTTCGCTCATGCTGCCCCATTTCAGCGTAAAAATGTTGAACTGTAGAAGTCGATGTGTCTCTGCAAGGGAATGGGTAGAAGACGTTATGGTGCCGAAAGGGGGGGGATGCCGCGCGGACGCTCAAAGCAGTATTTTAACACATAACAGAAGCTGCAAATTGTGCCAGCTCTCCATAAACGCTGTAGCTATCAGCTGCATATCGTCCTTTATCCCAGGGGAATGATCCCCAGCGGCCATCCCCGCTATGCACAAGGGGAACGCTGGGGAGGGGATCACTCCCCCGAGGATCTCTACTCAGAAACACGCGATTCTTCTAATTTTCATTTTATTCAAAGCAGTTTTACGTTAGAATAGCAAGATGAAGAAAATTTATCATATAATGTGATAATTACAATATGTTGTACCAGCCGTTATGGATAAAACAATCATGTCAAGTAGAAAATGCGCAACTCTCGTTGGTCTCAAACTTCTACAGGTATTCGAAACTGGCAGATATATGTCCGGGTTTTTTTACAAAAAGCGAATATGGAAGAGAGAGTTACAACTGCAAGCTACAAGTCGCTGAGAGAGGAACCCGGCTCCCGTAGAAAATCTTTCATCAATTTGAACGAAATGCTTTGTAATAATTGATTGAAATTAGAATACTCGTTTCTCTGGTTTGACCTACACCATCGAACCCCTACTCCGTTGTAGGGGATGTCGATCCCCTCCGCCGCGTTGTTGAGTTACACTCGTGCATACGGGGATCGAGTGGGGAGGGGAAAGGGATCTCCTCCCCCATTCGATCCCCGTATGCACTGGGGTTCGCTCGATCAATACCTCTGAAACTATTCACACCATCCCCGCTTAGGTGCAGGGAAGGGGATTGCTCCCCTCCCCTCTGTCATGGCGGGGGTCGACGGAGGAGATCGTTCCCCTGGGGATCCAGCTCCCCTCCCCTCCCCAGCGGGGACGTACGTGCATACCGGCCTAAAAGTGTAACTAGCAATGCCTCGACAACATCAAGCGCAACAACCACTAGCAGCGCTGTAATGAAAGGAACCCGTGCCTCGTTCAGCTCACTGCCGAGCTCAGACAGTGACATTACGGTAGTTGAAAAAGAGATGGAGGCTGATACGTTCAAAATTGCTGAAGCAGGGAAGAAGAAGAAGAAATAGACCGTTGTGCTTTTAATTTGGCTGGAGTTCGGTCAGAGGGCTTACTCGACATGCTGATAACGGATATCATACTCTGTCTGCCTATTGGGGCCTTTTCAAAGAGTTATGGTGGTTATACGGTATGGGTCGGAAACATAGATTTGCTCTAAACTTCGTCTAGGGTGGTCATTTGGCGCGCTGAACATGAATATCATGCTAATTTCGCAGGATAGCGCAATTTTCTTGTGTTACGGTGGGTGTACAGTCTAAGTTCCAGATTTGCTCAAAACTTACCTGTAACGGTTTACAAGCATGCTGCTTATGAATATGATGCTTGCTCGCTGCCATGGCGCATTATTGTGAAGTTATGGTGAGTTGCAGGCTTTGAATGGACATTTTTTCCTTTCGGTCCAATTTAGATCGACATTCACGAAATGGGGGGGGGGGGGGAAGGGTTTTTGCGTAACGGTCTCCAGCGCCATCCTGATAACTCCTCTCAATGCGTAATGCACGCTGCAAATCTCCCCCCCCCCCCTGTTCTTTGCTTAGGCAAAAGCCGAAGGGTGTATCGCGCGCGAAAGAGGTCCTATAAGAGAAGCATCACGGTCGTGAGAAACCTTCTAGATCATACAATTGCCTTTATCGTGAGGAGTGAGTACGATATTCTTGAAACGGCACTTTAAATAACCCCTGCCAAGGTTTCAGGCAGGTTCATGATTTTTACCCGTTGCCATGTACCTACCATAACTCTGCGAAAACGTCTCAAAACGCAACGAGAGTGTTTTAAACGTGGTCAGAAGGTCGAATCTCCCTAAACCGAGTTTCAGCCAAAACTGAGATTTTGCCCCTCTGCAGTATACCTATACCATAACTCAAGTGAAAACGCCCCAACATGCGAAGGAGCATGATATTCGTAATCAGCATGTCAATTAGCCCCCCCCCTAAGCGAAGTTTCAGCAAAATCATGATTTTGGCTTCTTAGGTGTACCCACCGTAACCCCAAATGGCGCTATCGCGCGAAATGACTACGATATTCGTCATCAGTGGCTCGAATAAACCCCTATACCGAGGTTGAGCAAGATCCATCACAAAAACATTTTGGGGCCCGGCTAGCCGAATAACGCCATCAGTTTTTAGAATTATCCTTACTTCTATCAGTTTTATTGATTTCCTTGCAAAGTTTGAGCTGCGGAGCTGCGGATTGGTGAGGGCGGTAGGTGAGCATACTGATTACTAACACAGCGGGAATAGGGAATTGCATGTAGAAGTGAGCACAGGGAAAAGTTGTACAGGCATAGGAATGGAACCTTTATCGTTTTTGACAGAGCCGGGCAGAGCCGGGTAATCCAGCTAGTGTGCTATAATACCTATTATACCTAACACCACTTCCTAATTCCTTCCCTATTAATTCTCAATCTGCACTGATCTGTTTGCTCTCAGGTTGTCGTAAGGTTGCTCTAATGGTTGCTCTAATCGACTTCCTTCTGATGGTTTATTGTGTACCAGTGCGTCACCTCTGCTTCGCAGAGGCTCGCATTGGCCCTATTTCTGTATGCTTTACTCATTTCCGCATAATAATGGCATTGAAACTCACCGCGCTATGTAAGCTATCACGAATGATTCGTAAACAACTACTCATCCCTAGAGGTTTTTCGTGTGAGATCAGTACTTTCGCCTGGAAGAAATTTTTCCCGGAAGAACAGATGCAAATTTGAGTAGGTTTTTGGAATTTCTATGGCTTGGTAGTTGCCATAAGGACAATAAACATCATGGGCTACATCTCTGTGCAAAAACCTTCTCAAATGATCAGGAGAAATCTTGGCAAAACGAAAATTTACGCAACTAACTCTTTTGGCGCCATTTTCTAAAGTAGCCAACTTTAGTTCAGTTTTCTGGGCTGAAGTCCATGGCTTCCACATTAGCTTGTCAAACACATCCATGGCATTGCAAAGGTGGTGGTACGGGCTCAATTTTATTGGCCAAAAGCCAAGTGGGTCCGATTGACGCGCATTTTTTGAGGGATCCACAAAACGGATCCGCTCGTGCTTTTGTACAGTGGACTCTCATGTTGGTAGCATGCGCTATGCAAAATTTGGGCTCAGGAGGTTGGCTGGAACACGTTCTACGAATTTCGTGACAGACAGACAAACTTACACACAGACAAAAACAAGTAAACACCCTTAGCCAGTTATTATAAGTTATGATGGCATTATTTATTCTTTATTTACACTAGCGACCCTATCAAGTGGGTAGGGGCAGATGCAATATAAGGGCTTAGTTGTGATTATAAATATTTCTAAATAACTTTCCTATGCCTTTGCTGAGAACATCTTTGCGACGCATTCTACAAAAGGAGAACTGTTCGAAGAAGCAATAATCTCCACAAATCATTCAGCATTTTTCGAAATTCCTGCTGCAACCATGCATGGGGTATCATTTTTCTCTCGTTTGCCACGCTCTTTCTGCAAATTTCCCCTCCTCACAGAGACATTCAGATACCCCCCCCCCTATCTTTTCTACCCTCTCAAAGAGAATTTGCCCTCCCAGTTCTTCTCAACAATTTATAGAAGATCGTCAAGGAAGTAGAAGAACACCTATCGTTTTGGAAGTAGAAATACACCAACAATAATTGTGTACTACAAAAAACAAATTTGCAAATTTCCCCTCCTCAGAATCAAACAGCAACGAAATCAATTGTCTGAGAACTTTGCCAGAAAATTTTTCAATATTTTCGCCAAAGGAATATGAAGCTTTACTACATAAGTAGATACCTCCCCGAAAAGCACACTACTGAGTCACCTAAAGACCGTCAATCATAAGAACTGCATAAACGTACAAAAAATCTGTTCCCCTGCCTGATCAAGTTGCCCTACGTGCCGCTTGAAAACCGTTTAAAAATTATAAGAACTGTCCCGAACGTACAAAAATCTGTTCCCCTGCCCGATCAAGTTGCCCTACGTGCCGCTTGAAGACCGTTCAAAAATTATAAGAACTGCCCCAAACGTACAAAAATCTGTTCCCCTGCCCGATCAAATTGCTCTACGTGCCGCTTACCGACCGATAATAACTATTCAAAAGAAAGTTTATGCCTATGTGCCGCTTGAAGACCGTATACATAAAAAAACCAAACTTACGACTCTACGGAAAGAAAACAATGAAATCAAGTATTTACAGCGTATTCTCAAATTGCCGTACATGCCACTTTTGGAATTTCAATTCTGAGAACTGCCCCAAGCGTACAAAAATCTGTTTCCCTGCTCGATGCAATTGCCCTACGTGCCGCTTACAGACCGATTCCTAGTTGAAAGCACCAGCGGGACCCATTAACAAGCAAAAGCAAGGCTGTTATTAGATAAACGTTTCCAAAAGTACCAGCGAGACCAAGTTACTCACGCACTCTCTTGTCTACACGTGGAAGCAAGACGATGATAAAGTGACTGTTCTTGGGTGTAGGCCTTTCTGAACCCGCTCCAATCACGACGAGTGTGATAGGTCAGCGCGCGCGGGAGGTCACGCCGTGATTGGCCGCTCCGCTGCTGCGAGCGAATGACCTGACCACGCGCGTCGCGGATGCGGACGAGTTACACATTCGGCGTGTTGCGTGCAATCTGCTCGGCCCTTTAATGAATACGCCACACGTAGAACAAGTTTTTGGGCCTAAAATCACAATTGACAGCAGACTTACTACTTTTTATTATTAGCTGTTTTTAGAACTTCAACATTTTATCTCATGAATTTTGTCATTGTTGTCATTTGGTTTGTTCCCAAGCTTTCCGAGTTTTTGTATTTTAGCTTTTTGGTCTTTTTGATCATTTTATTTCGGTGTGAGGTTTTCGATTTGTTTTGGTAATGATTTTCGCCCTCAGTTTCTTATTTTTAGGTTATCGACAACGTCCCCCCCCTTGTACAAATGCGATAAGAATGGAACTAGGTTTGTTGAAATGAAGGACTCATATGTTTACGCTCTGGCCTCAATTATTTTTACTTGTAGGAGGTTCGAAATCAACAAGAGCGTCTTCATTCGACCAAAGGAGGTAGCGCTAGGAGAGATGAAGATGGCGTCGTTCTTCGATCTGAAGGTAAAACGCTGGCGTTTTTTTTCTGCTTGAACTTGCTCTCTAGGATGTTACTCACCGCCTTGAACTTTTTTTCTGTGAACCACGTTTTTTTCACGTTTCAAGTTTGTTTTGAATTTTATGGAGACTTCGCGGATATGCTAAAGATGAGTTTTCAGGGTCCGGTGTTAGTTGGAGCGGTGCATGCGCTAGCTTCAGTATGTCCGACGGCTGGGGTGGCTTTGAAAGGCGCTTCATGCCAACTTCCCGCCTCGACTCATCGAGCCCTGGCTGCACCTTATCTGTTGTTTGGACTGGGCCGAAGTCCCAACTTTGTTGATGAGGTTGGTTCAGTTTATTTTTTTACAATAATTAGTTTTCTAGTTTCTAGTTGACTATCTTCTATTCTATTCGACTATTTTTCACTATTTTCTAGTTGACTATCGGTGCGCCACGTTATTGTGATGGCTTAGCAGTCCGTAAACATACGCTGAAACAGTTCGCACCAAATTCGAGGATTGTTTTCATTCCATTTGTCATTTGTGATTTGTCATTGTTGTCATTTGTTTTGTTCCCAAGCTTTCTGACTTTTTGTATTTTAGCTTTTTGATCTTTTTGATCATTTTATCCGATGAAGACTCGTTGATGCTCTTCCGAGTAGGAGAGTTTTCGCTTGATGGATATCCCGATCTTCTTGCTGTTCCTGTGGGCAAACCTTGGGGCTAAAGGCAAGATCAAAAAGCTAAAATACAAAAGTCTATTTTTTAACTTGTTCTTGTTTATGTTTGTTAACGTTATGTTTTGTACAGTCGATTCATTTCACATGATCATGTGTGTCACTGCACACACTGTCCACCTTTGGCGTTCCCATCCAGGATTTTTGGAGGAGACAACCCTTCAGCTGAGTGTTTTTGATATGTTCTCAATGTTTTCCTTCCTTTTTAGATAGTAATCACCTCAAAGTGACGTAAGAGATAAGAATTGTCCAAAATCTTGCGTGTTTGCGACTGCAATTCCAGGATGGGGACGCCAAAGTTGGACGATGTGTGCAGTGACACACATGATCATATGAAATGAATCGACTGTACCATCACATTTTTATTATTGCGGTCCAGAATGTGATTGCCCGGGGTCGCCTTCTGGACTTTGTAATAAAGTTTTTTTTCCTCTTCTTAGGTAACGCAAGGTCGACCGTTAGGTAGTGTACGAAAAAAATGATGTAGAAAAAGTGTGGGTGTGCTTTGATATGTGGTGAATGGCGCCATTACTAGACGAGAAAGTGTTTAGGCGACATGATTCTGAAAGAATGAGTGGCACTGTTCTACTTTATATAGCGGAGTAATCTATAATCTCAGAACTTCGGTAGAACCTCACAAGGGAAGTAGGGACTTATCACAGCTACATTTTGATTATCTATTATTATATTATTTATTATTTGATTATTCATTTTATCTACATTTTGACACTTTTTGTTAAATTTCACAGGCGTGCTTCTCAGATCAACGTGCTTTTAATTGCCGCCTCAACGCCCAGCCTTTAACTTTTCTTTGTGATCAGTCATGGAAAACAAGGCTTGCTCAGTTCCACACTAAATTCAGTTCCACACTAAATTGATGTAGAAAATAACAATTGTGAATATGCTTTAAACACAAGTGAACATTAAATGACTTTATTAGATACAAAGCGAGATATATGTCTGCAAAAATTCACTATTGGCTCAATTGCGGGGAAGGGTTCTTCTAGGCGGGCGCGGTGTTCCTGCATGCACCTGTCGATTTTTTCTCTCCTTAGGATGTCCTTTTGTCGAAGTTTTCGAGCGATACCCTTAAAACGGCTTTTAGTGGAGATATTTCTGACTGCTACCTACTCACCCTCTCTAGGTTTCGAAGGGTACACATGGCACGATTGTCGGCCCCGTGCAAGCACTTCAGGGTTTTCCGTACAGGGGCGTTTCGCTCTCGGATCAGAACGCGGAGGACTCTGCAAGCAATGGTTGGCTTTTGGAAGATTGCAAATTTGGAAGCGAACTAACCTATGGTACGATTCCGCTATATTGCTTGTTCTAAGCTCGGACTTCCCCCACTTGTACCAGATATTCTTGAAGGGCCCAGCATACCAGTTTTCTCGCAAGTAAGCTAGGAAGCTCACGCATTTGTGATAAGCTGGATGCGTTGGTGGTACTGGTGGCCCGTGTAGCGCTGGTACTCTTCGATGGAGACGCGGGGGAAGGAAAATGAGGCCCTTGAGAGTCATCCACCAATCCCTCACTACATGTTCTTTCATTTCCGTCCGTAGCCCTAATGACAGCGCCTTGCGATTCCACGCCTGTGCCAGGTGGAAGCTGCACCCTTCTACGCAGCCGTCCGGAAAGTGGTTCTAGAGTAGACGGCTGTCAGAGAGGATTACAAGTTAATTATGAAAATTCTCACTTTTATTCCAACCAAAGCGGCTCTCTCAAAATCAATTATAATTCTTAGTCTTCTGCAGTCTACACCTAATTCTGTCAGCTCCTGCTTAATCATTCCGAAAACTCTGTCGTACACTGATTCGTTCTTTCTTCTTGTCAATACATGCGAAGAGAAGAAGAATTGGGTGAAGCTTCGCGAGTTGGTGCAGAAGAGTAGTCGTGTAAGTTAAGAGGCGAAGGAGAAGAAGAATTGGGTGAAGCTTCGCGAGTTGGTGCAGAAGAGTAGTCGTCCGAATTAAGAGGCGAAGGAGAAGAAGAATTGGGTGAAGCTTCGCGAGTTGGTGCAGAAGAGTAGCCGTTGAACAGGAGCGATTGGGGAGAAGGGAAAGGGGAAGCTGCGCGAGCAGTGCAACAGGGAAGCGCAGGTGAAAGAGGACCTGGAGTAGCTTGTTTCCGAGCTAGTTGAACGAGGCGCGCTAGCTTTGAAGGAGGAGGGCATGGCTGCAGAGAATTAGGAGCTTCAGTGTTTGACAAGAGTTTACGAAGCTCAGGATTTGCACAGCCAGGGCGTTTGCGGGCAAGAGAAACAGGAAAGCGTGTTGGTATAGAAGAAGCTGCGGAACTGGACGGGTTGGCCGGCGCGGAAACTAGGTGAACAGGTGGAGCAGGAGCAGAAAGAAACTGTGCCGACAGAGAAGCAGAAGCAGCAACGGCAGTGGGAGAAGCGGCAACAAGGTGCGTTGGTGTAGAAGAAGCTGCGGAGCCGGAGGGGTTAGCCGGTGTAGAAACTACGCGGAAAGGCGGAGGAGGAGCAGAAACAAACTGTGCCGGCAGAGAAGCAGAAGCAGTAACGGCCATAGGAGAAGCGGCAACAAAGCGCGTTGGTGTAGAAGAAGCTGCGAAACCGGAGGGGTTAGCCGGTGTAGAAACTACGCGGAAAGGCGGAGGAGGAGCAGAAACAAACTGTGCTGGCAAAGAAGCAGAAGCAGTAACGGCCATAGGAGAAGCGGCAATAAGGCGGACCGGAACAGCCATGGGAGTAGCGGAAACAAGGCGAATGGGCATAGGAGAAGCGGAAACAAGACGAGCGGGCATGGCAGAAGCTGGTGAACGCGAGAATAAAGGCAGGGAGCGGCTGCCCGGATGAGCTAGAGATGGTCGCGGTAGAAGCGGTCGCAGAGTTGAAGCTTGAGTTACAGAAGTAACTCTGTAGTTCTTATGAGAACTGTTTGGAACACGATGGAATGACATTGGAAAGCTTGTAAACGTAAACGTAACAAGGGTGAATACTACACGCTCGCTATCCTTTTATATCCGTTCAGCAAAGGCTTAGTGATGCCGTAGGGAATTATTCTCACATGAAAGGTCAGGGACACGGTATCTGACGTCTACAACGATGTATCATGTCGAATAGCTTAGCATTTTAGCTTATAAAACTAGTGTAACTCTTACACAATGAACGTCTGGTTAAGTTCATGAGCTTCGCAAGGTAATGATGCATGGAACCACAATGAATTCGAAACATATCCTTATACAAGAACAGATTAAACATCGTACAACTATTGCCTGTTTCTCAGTGCTTCTGCGAGCAGTAGTAATTGTTACATGCAAAGCTAACTCGTGGTAAAACAATAGATGAGAGGAAACTCACAAATAAGTAATCTGGATCACCTTGACTTCCTCAATGAGTAAGGAGACTTGGATTATCTAGCCTTCTACACTGGGTTCATGTTTCACAAACTCATGAAAACCGGTGTAAAGGTCTAGATTTCTATCCAAGTGATAAGTGAGAGAATACAGTAGATATATGCAGATTCTGATCAATCAGCAGCGAATACTATGAATAGATGGAACGGATGGCATAAAACAAGTACCAGATATATAAAAAAAATAAGAAAGTTTAAACTAAAACTAAAACAGTACCAGATATATAAAAAAATAAGAAAGTTTAAACTAAAACATTAGATAAAATTGAAGGAATGTACAAGGTATGCTTACCTGCAGCACTGTTAATAGATTATCATGCCATCTTCACAATGAGCAGCAGATCTCTATAGCAGCGACATAGTTAGAATATAGCAATAGTATAGTTAGAATATAAGATGGTCCAATACCAGTAGACCCTTTCGGAAAATACTAACAGCAGGGGAATGGAATGAGATGGAAATGTGCATAGTGTGCAGTAGTGCACAGCAGTACGCTTTGGAAACGGTGATTCCATAATGACGGGAAACTCGTCCGTTGTAGAAGGCGAGTCGTCCGGCGTCACACGCAGCGCAGGCGCTCGCGCTACAGTTTCTCATTACTGTAACTTACCGTGGGTTCAGAAGGGCCGTCTCCCACTGTTCTTAGTTAGAGCATTTTTACAAGAGTTGGGAACTTGGATGAATTTAGCTCAAATCACGCTGTTACGCAATTTGGCATCATTTCAAAAGCAACTAATAGGAGTACAACATACTTGAAAGACACATTCTGGGATAACAAGCTCGAAAAAAAGCAGCTACAAATAACCACCCGGACACTGGCGACCCAGTCTCAAAATCATTGCGACCTCATGATTGCCTTTCGAAATACGTGTGACCCCTTTACGAAAATATGCTTAGCCACTCGTTATGGAATCTGGCAGCGTTCCAAAACGCATGCCACTTGGCAGCAATCCAAAGTCAAAGATCAGCATATTTCATCATAATTTCTCCGTCTGCTGCCTCCTCGTTTGCCATGTTCCAAGGACCAGGGGTGTTAATGGGTAAACAACGATTCCACAAAATATTACGTAGTGACATGTACATAAATACACAATGCCATTTCCCTTTCTGCTAAAAGTACCTCACTGTCTGCAAAAGATGGCCTATTAAGAACGGAAAACCAGTATCTCATAAAGAACGGATCAGAAATCAAAAGCAAAAATCGCAGACTGCTGCCCTCACTCCAGCATCTCCGCAGCACTTCATTGAGGGGCTCCGCAGTACTTTCGCAGGGTTTCCGCAGGTGACCGGCTCAAATGGAGCGAAAGCGCTGCAGAACTTACGGTCAGTTGTCTGAGGCACTTCAAGCCAGAATATTCTCTGTATCTTACATCCATGAAATCAGCCACAGTTGCAACAACAACTTACAAAGAAGGTAACCTTCAATGTCCATAAAATATACTTGTACAAGATTTATTTCAGGCATCGCGTCTAAAACTGACATCTTCCCTATATCTGCATGACTGTCTACTACGATGCACGAGCTAGTGCATCATTCAAAATGTTTCTACGCTCGGCATCTTGCAGGGCGCGTAAGTTGTTAGCCTAAAACATGAACATAAACAAAGACACTAGTACGGAATAACAACCCACCTTTCTCTTTTGATTCCACTTGAAAAGAAAATAGATTCCTACATAGCTAGCTAGTGCGGCGCGGCAGATGTTGGCACGACCGAAGTGCTCGTGCGGGTTGAGATACAATCGCTTTGTGGCAACAATTTGCTGCCAATATCCTCTAAGCGCATCAGCCATGCCTAGCTCAAGTACAGAAATAGTCACACGAAAAATTTAATGCAAATGTGTGATAACAGGTTCATGGATTGGTTCAAAACCATGAAATCGTACTCTATTCATGACATCGGTATATTTATAAAAGTTTCAAATATATGTTAATCGACTTCAAGTCACAAGAACACAGATGGTGCCAACAATACGCGCATACTAATAACCGCAGTGTGTCATCGAAAATTTGGTTATACTAGCTTACCAGGGCAAAACACAATTTAACCGGTTCGTAAGAGATAGGAGTGAGTATGCCTTTCAAAGGCCAATCTCAGCGTCTTCAAAGGCCAAGAACAATCTGAACCAACTCAAAAATACTCCGAACACATAATGCGAGAATACTACGATAGTACTGATGACTTAGAAACAACTCAGGCTTAGAACTTGGAACTTCCAAACATTGAGCACCCTACAACATGAGAACGACGCAATCGGCGATAGGAAAGACGCAAATCTACAAACTCCTCGTCGCTTCGACGTCTAAGTCTACATACAAGCAGATTGCCGCAAAAAAATCGCTATAGTTGGATACAAGCGCATCGAAACAAACAAGAGAGAATGTTTCGTGAAGGGCAAACTCACGAAACCGTTCACGTATAGCTAGCATCTATGTCAAAATTCTAGCAAGCTTATTTACACGCAATGAGAAAATTTGCGAGTAGTTTAGCGAGTGAGTTGAAGTGTGTATCACTGCAGAGAAGAAGCAGCCAATCAGCTAACATTTGCACGTCTGCGTCCGAAACCTGCGGTAGAAGTTCTCGCCATCTAGACAGCGGCGATGACCTGCAAAATAAATGCATTAACAATTATACAACGCTGTGTGACTACTACGAAATGACACAATGATACAAAGTTACTCTTGCGGAAAAAAGTCTCATACAGCATTACAAGTGTGCATGTTTATTGAAATTTAGCTCTCATACACACTTCTGTCAATGATCGCTTCTGATAGATGTGCAATATCGCCAAAGTTGCAGTCTGTTCTGCCACAAGAAGGCTTAATTGGTATCCACCACAGTATAGTGGGCGAAGCTTTGCCGACACTTGCCAACGCATTCGAGTAGCTGTTTTTTATAGCTAGAGAGTATAAAAACTAATGCTTTGAAATGAAGCTTCAAAAAGTATTGCAACAAATGTGTTCAAATGTCTGCAAGTCCACGTCTGCTATGCGCATGATAATCGCCTATAGCAGTATCAAAACCAACACAGACTAAAGCAAAATATCGCGATAGTGCCGCAAAAAAACGAATGAGAATGTTTCGAATGCCAGTATAGCAGATCAGATAGAAGAATAGAGAGTATCATGCAAAATAGCCTATGAAAAATCGAAATTTTTTCCCGCAATCAATTCTTAGTGCGAACAATTCGATATTCTGATTCAATCTTTCTCTAACAAGGCTTGAAAAACTGCATACATCGGATCTCCTTCACAAACATTAGTATACCAATTATGCTAAGTTTTAATACAGATTGATCTGCCTGTTATAGAAAAAAAATCCGATTGTTACTGGAGGGCGTGTCTGTTCAACAATTTACTTACATGGCGAAGCATAAATTAGCTTACTTATACCAACAGTTTCTTCTATAAATGACGGATGACGACCCCTCCGATGCCAGATCTTACTTCTGTTCAAGATCTCTTGTGATAATATTGGATATTAATCATGAGTTTTAAACACTGATGGATACGCAAGATTAACCTTTGCGTAATACAAAATATGCCGCGAATATGATCAAGGAATGACCAAAGGCCAATTATCCGGTAATCATTTAGTAACGGAAAAAAGCCTCACCATCCGTCAACAAAGTTTATTTCCTCGGGTGGACCACACAACCACCGCACAATGGTCTGAGAAACGGCTTTGCGTTTGGCGCAAGCGAATAACAGGGTTACCAAAGCATCTCGACAAAACTAAACTGGATCATTAGAAGACCAACGATCAACCAGCATTGAATGTTAACAAAACCAAAGAAAGTAGAAAGAAAAAGACAACTGCTTCATGGTAGAACAACTTTTTCATCTTGTAAAACATTACGAAGTAAAACTTACTATGTTCTTACTCAGCAAGTTTTCTTGTATGGTAGAAATGAATAATGTTGAAGTGAGAGTCATAAGTTGCTCTCGGCTAAGAGTCATCAGTCCATTGAATAATGGGAAGATCAAGTCACTATTGATCTGAAACAAGCAAGACAGCACTCAGAAACAAAAAAGAAACAAAACTTGGGGTAACTCACATCGTCGAGGCACTTTTTGGGGCATAAACTCATCACAGAAAACAGTGCCATCACAATGCGAATGACGTCCTTGGGACAACCAACACCAATGGTGCGAGCTACGACAGAACGTCCTTTGCCAAGCTCAAATATTGATGTTAACCACATATAAAGCGAAAGGTAATGACCGATAACTATTACTGCACAACTAACCTGCAAGATTTTGACAAGATCTTCAGCGATCAGTTCTCTGAAAACGGTATCCACTCGGTCCGATATCTCTGCCAGCAGTGCATCACTGAAGGGTCAGTAAAGAAACATAAACAATGATACGCTAAAGTCTTTGAACCCACTTGTTTTGCCCAAGACTGCGCATCTTCACGCGTCTGTCTTGACATTCAATCAAAAGCGTAAGAGCAGACTCCAATCGTAGCAGAAGAGTTCTTAATTTCCTCTGCTTTCCAGCGCGCTGGATGGCATCATCTTCTGTGTTTTCGACATTATGTTCTACGCTAATTAGCTGAAAGTACAAGATTATGCACACGAATTCTCAAACAGAAGCGCAGTACTCACATGTCTTGGGTTGTTGGTGGATGACTTAGACGGTAGTCCCAACGCTCCTTTGAATTTCACGTTCAAAGGAACAACTTCTTTCGGTTGACTAGTGCTATCGTAGCGAGAGCCATTAATTCGCCGTCTTCTTTGCTCATGGTCCTATCACCAAGAATTTGGATGAGGTTACACCATAAAAGATTACTTGCTTACTTTAGATCTATCAGGAGCTGAATCACGCGGGGTGTTCACCTGCTTGGGTTTCCAACCAAGGGCTATTTGCTTCTCTCGCCACATCTGAGGACTGATCGGTTGAGATGAAAACCAAGTTAGATAAAGAAACATACTGTATAATAATAATCATCGTCGTATGGTACGCCTGTCCCTTGGCATTGCAAGATCTGTATTTTAACTAGCCATTCTCTCTCCTTGCACGACATGTAACCCGCAAATTGATCAAATGCAAGATCTTCAATTGTGCGACCTGATGGCATTCCAGGAGCTTTGCGTTGCCACTGTAATTATATGTATCGCGAGTGTTACAAAAGCGAAGAAGTGAAATGAGACTTGGGGTGTAGATTTTCCAGTCGAACTGCTACAGAACACCCCTTTGAAACAAACAATAGTGTTCCCAATGACACCTCTGACTTACAGGCGTTCGCCGATCATAGCTCTGCGTCGGAAAGGGAAAAGGCGGAGGGACTGGAGCAGCTAATGGGGCGGCTCTCAGCATCTCCATGACAATCACGGGGTCCTGTTATAACAATAACTTATACTACTCATCACGGATCCAGAACGAAAGGGAAAGACCTCCCATATTTACCTTGACGGTGTCGAATACCATTCGCAAAAGAGGTGGTACAGGAGGACACCCAGGTGGCAGACAAGGAGTTCGTCCAGCAAGATGTTCAAGCCAAATTGGCACCAGTGGAAGCATCATCGGATTCATAGGAGGAAGAAAGGGCGGAAGAGCCATGGGTGGAGGAACATTGCCAAAGTTCGGGAGAATGTTCGTAGCCTAAATCGCTAATGTCAAGTGTATTTCACATCAAAGAAAATACATACCACTCTAGCAGGTGCTTGACTTTGAGGAGAAGGCATGGGAGGGTATCCTTGAGGCACCACACACGGTTGCATATGGTTTCTGACCATCGCTGGCGTGACTGAAGCCTCTTCAATGAATCGGCGTTCCAGATCAGCAGCATTCACAGCGGCTGACTTCACATTATTGACGGTACAAGTGTTAACCAGAGGTGCGTTTCGTAAATGTTGACGTTCCAGATCCTCCAACTTGAAAACAAATGAAAATGCAAACATATGTAGGTTGGCATACGAAATCTTACCGTCGAAGCGCGAGGCATTGGGGGCAAGGAGGCAGGATGTGAATGAGGAAACGGGACAGAACTGTTGGACATTGAGAAGTTCCTCGAGACCTCATCTGCCATCGAGTACACATTTGGAGGTTTACTGACCTGTATTGATGTCATCTCATTCTAAAAAATGAAACATGGAGATGAGAAGAGGAAAATCAACAATACTCACTTTTAAAGGTTGTGCCAAAATAGTATTTGCTCCAGCACTAGTGGTGGCAACTTTCTGCTCTCCCCAGATATCGTACAAGTTGTTTGACTGCTGTGACCACAGTGAGTCGAGTTTTGCCTAAATTTACAAAGTGTTGGAGGATGCAAATCCAATGTTGTGAATCAGACATGGACATGCATCTATTATGAAAACCTTTTTTGCATATTATATATGACATACATATGTAGAATACGGTTACACACCTCTTTAACACATTATTTGATGGGTTACGCCACATTAGGCTGACAGGTTGATTACCGCCAATTCTAGAGGAAAAGTCTACCCGTCCATCCAGAACCCTCCAGTGGCCGTATTCATCAACGAAACCCGTGGGTTCCGGAACCCACTGGGTTAGTGCTTTTGATGAATATCGATTCTACTCCAGGGAAGAATCGATATTCATCAAAAGCACTAACTCAGTGGGTTCCAGAACCCACGGGTTTCGTTGATGAATACGGCCACAGATCACTATTTAGTCTAAATTAAGACACTAGAAGTGAAGCATCTGCAATAGTCCACCCGCGATGTTGCTTGTGCAAGGAAAAAAATGAACATGGAAATCCAGTTCCTGCTCCTCCTCCTTTTCTGCATATAGTCTAAGGTCCGGGCACACCCCATGCTTTTCAGCCGCGACGATACCTGGCGATACTTGTTTATAATTCATCATTAACGCATTCTAAAGAGCGGAAGATGTGCATTTTACCAATCTGCGAAAGCTGTAATGTGAACATGTAGTCTGCAGGTGTTGAGTATGGAGCAATAGACGACTGAAAGCGCGCCAAAATGAACAAGGCCTAACATGCAAGCACAATCGCAACGATTTCTGCGTGACTCTGTCTCCATTCTATACGATGAAATTAACCACTGCGTATGACTGCACTAGGACTGGAGAACTTTGCAAGCCTGATCAGGTAGGGTTCTAAGAACGAAGATTTCCAGGATTTTCACATGACTGTGCCTTGTATTTAGAGGTCATGGGAAGACCCAAGATTGATAAAACATGAAAGCCAAAAATTTGCGTGGACGCTGCTTTGAGCCCCATTACTATTATGTATATCTTACTGGCTTTAGCACCATAAACCTCCATATCGGTGTGCGAGGATGTCTAATTTCGCAAGCTGCAGTCAATTTCAATTGTTAAACACTAGCATCACTAGCTAAGCCCAGGCCGCTGCGCTCTCGAAAGTTCAAAATGAGAGCAACACTAGGAAAACCCATGGATCGCTGAGATAAAGAATGCAATATGATAAGGCCCTGGCCAGACTTCGCTCAAAAGCAGATCTGCTGTCATTCAAATTACGACATCAATAGCTTATATGCACGAATATGACAGTTTTTATATATTAACATACAATAGTCGTCAAAAACAAACCGATGAGGGATTATGCTGGAGTAAAAAGCGTGTTCGAAGTTATTATGAATGCTCAATACCATTCATAAAAAATCACTTCAAAAAGGAGCAAAAAGTGGAATGAATCAAAAAGACGTCGACACTAACCATTGATTCGGTGCCAAAACTAGTGAATGAGTTCCCGAAGATGTCAAAGTCAGGAAGAGGAACGTTAGAGGCATCTGGCGCAGGAGCTTTTGAGCATCCTGGAGCATCCCATGGTGCATCGTCAAGACGCAAACAAGCAGTCTATAATGGCAAAAACTCTTGTAATCATGTAAGGCTGGATACGCACCTGTGCCGCATAGTCCTCCAACTCGCTGTTGATCGAATCCTGCATGTCATCTCCAAACGTTTCATCATTAATGGCATCGATTTCTTCTGCTACACATGCATTTTCGTCGTCGCCCTCATCAGGGATGCACCCTGATTTAAAATCGTTTTATCAAGCAGTGAAACAGACTATTAGCATCTGCAGTCAGAGATACTATCATCGCGATGTACTTGAACGATAAAAAATTCAACCAATATTAAGTGCTTGGCAGATCGAACTAATCCGTTACAAACAAGCATGAATGGAAGCAAACACACTATATTCATCGCAAAATATAGCTAGACTTTAATACCAGCTTAGATACTTAGTCCGTAACGTGAGGAAAAACCATGTATATAATGTAATTCATGTTGTTTACAAAGACTTTTCAGCAAACAGATGGGAGTTTCCAAACTATAAGCGGAGGCAGCATCTGCATCATATATCTGCTCCTACAACGTCTGCTCTTTTTCAATAAATAATACAAAATTAGAAGCGCTGCAAGAAACCATGCAAGAAAAGTGATTTGAAAAGAAGAAAAATGATAAAAGTGGATGCATTTTAGAATACTCGTATGGTTTCAGCTTTACCTACAAAGGGGCATGGTGTCTATCTGCAAAAATCAAAAGATAACGCCACACACACATGTCACAGAATGCTAAAGGCTCCTGGTTGCACCGTTATGGTTAGAACTGACTTCTACCCTCTCTATAAACAAGCTTACCGAACATATAGTCGTCGCATAAGGATCGATCAGGTCTGCCAAGATCCATCGCACTGCTCGATACCATGAAATGAGCGGTGGATCAGCAATCATACACGGCCAACAGCCCCTGAACAACGTTCGTTATTAAAGCTACTATATTCCACACCACACTTCACTAGAAACCCGATATAGACATACAATCGTAGATCAGTTCATTCATACTAAGTTAATCTCACCTTGGTTACGGCAGCCCATCGATTGATCAGTACGTAGCAATGCGGCGAAAATGGCCGCGCATCACTTCACCCTTCGCTTCGAGACCGCAGCAGACGAGAAGCGGCGTCCTTCAAAAGCTCAGCTTGATGAATCGGCAAAAATTTCCTATGGCTCTGTGATCCTCGTGCTTCCTTCAATATCTGGAATAAATTGAAAAACTTAGCAGCAGTCAAAGTGAATCAAAGCCGATTTGTTTACATGAACTCAGGCACTGTACACTTAGGGCTGGAAGTGGTGCTTTACTTCATACAGTAGGAAGCCCCAACTACGTGAAACCCCAGTCATGCTAAGGTATCTCTCCAGCGATGTTCTTAAATCATCGCTCGCATGCTCAGATGACTGCCTTTCGCTCCTTTCAACATGCAAATCTAAGGAGGTATGAAAGGTATGTCGCCCACCCAAACTAGGGTATGTCCAGAGGCGATTTTTATTGCCAGATGGACACCGGATAGCACATAATAAGAGCTTTATAACATTCTAGAAGTATCCTAATTATAGAAGGAGACATTTTAGATAGTTGCATGAGTTGCTAAATCTTGCTGCTCAGGAATCAATTCAAAAAGCAATTTTAACACATTGACGACAAGGCCGATTTTTCGATTACTGCCATTTCGGACAGGAGCCTTTTTTGCTTTGCCAAACTTACGACCCACCCATGGATCATATTGTCCGAAATGGTAGTCTTTTTGTAACAAATTCAGAACATGTCTCCGAGAATTTCCCCACAAGGGTTACCGAACGCGCTGACTACCCAAATATGATTTATTGCAGTTTTTGGCGTTATACGGTAAGGTTACGGTAGTCATTCTGTATCCAACATCATGGATTTCCATGAAAATTTGTGTGTTGGGGTTATTTCACGTGCTGATCACGATTATAGTGTCCATTTGTTCACTATATTCTCACGGTGAGACTACGGTAGCAGTACGGTAGAATTTTCGTAGAAATCAAGAAACTGATGTTAGAAGGTGGTATCAAAACCTGAGACTATCATTTTCGTAATCAGCATGCTACAAAACCTACATATACAAAGTTCGAGCTTCCTAGGACGAAAAATGCAAAAATCAATAAAATCAATAAAATCGATAATTCTTTGGTGGATTAACGTCAGCCTCTCGCCCGCCCCGTATTACTCTTGGATGCAAACTTGATTCTCCAGAAACAGCATCATTTCACGAAGAATTTGAGCTAACGCTTATGCCTTATAGATGTCTACCGTAAAACAACCGTAACATTACATTACAGTATCCCGAGCCCGGACCACTCTGGCTGGAGCTTCATCTAAATACCCCCGATCATGTGCCAGAACCCCGTAGAATTCCGTCGTAAACTGGCAAATATAGCGCTTCATGAATCTTACGACCCACCGGTGGGTCGTATTGTCCGAAATGGCAGGACGCGTACGACCCACCGGTGGGTCGCATTGTCGTCAATGTGTTAAAGGTCAAAAATCCATGAAAATGCAGCTAAGAAACTCGTAAATATTTCGGTCCATTTTCCAGTAAAAGCCACCAAATTCAGCAAGTGGTAACCTTAGACAGATAGTGAGCCAACGCACTTTATCAGGTACTTTTTGAAGATTTGCATAGCACTAAACTGAAGCTTTGGGTTGGTGACAGCCGGATCGCGCCTCTTAACCATCTCTCCCCCAACTGACAGGGATGAGAAATGTTATATAATAGCAGGGATCCCAGATAAGCAGTCATCCGGGGGCGGTATTTATCAATCTCGTGTATGGGAAGGGGTTCCAATACAGGTAACAGCTCGTACAGGCACGCGCACTGGCGCCCGCGATATGAACCAAGGTGGTGACCGGGCTCCTGTCTATTGAAGAATATGGTCCGATCTTGCAAGTTTGGCCATGTCGGGCACGACAGTCGGGCAGCGTTTCCCCATCTCGACGAGGCGGGCGGCGGTGCCCGTTTGGGCCGCGCTTCCAGACTTTCATAAATCGCGGGAAGGGCGCTCTCGCCTGTGCGGGCTCTCGTCAACACGTTGACGACGAGCTGTTTTTTTGACGTCTATCCATGTGGACGAACTGTTTCCGGGCATTTTCACAGCTGGCTGCATGTATGCATGCATGCATTTATGCGCAAGATACAAAAATGCTTGGCAAGCCCCGCCCACTTTTTTAAAAATGCCGAAAATTGCACAAAGTTCACGAATCCGTGCAAATCCCGGCACTTTTGAAAAGTGGGCGGGGCTTGCCACGAGGGGCGGAGCCTACATGACGGAAGGCGGAGTTCAAATTAGGGTTATTTTGAGTTTCCCCAGTCATCTACGAGCCTTCCTATGCTATTTGGAAAGAAAAGAGTTTTTTGTGGAGGGCAACAGAATGGGCGGAGTTTGCCAAAAGGGGGCGGGACCAACATGAAATACTTCTAAGCCTAGATTGATTATGCGAACACAAATCGGAACCATTGTGTACAATAGAACTGATATTCTGGGTGTCGCGCACCATTGCGCGACACTGTCGACAACGTGTTATGTACCCCTCACCGGGTTCTGCGATAGGGATTCTACGGCTCTAAGCCGGAAATACAGAACAAGAAAATCAAACAACAAAAAATTACTACAGAACAACGACGAAAAACAACAAGGAACAAGACAAAAAAAGAAAGCCCGATCAAGGCAACCGCATGAGATGAGAATGATATCAAGTCTGAGATCCTTCGCGGGAGAATGCGGGTCTCGGCGCGCACTTCCTAAATATCCCTGTGGTTCCCGCCATAACTTCGCTTCGCGGGCTTTTCGTACGTCGATCTATCGAACGGCCCTCTCCACACGCTCCCCCCTTCGGGAGCCGATGACCTCATCGGCGGGTCATTCCTCTTTAATTCAGGCAGCGTCATCTGTTTCGCGACTCTTCTTCTCACGGCCTCGTATAGTATCTTTGCGCAGGCGACAGGAAGATCCGAAGCACTGTAGTAGAACAAACAGCTTTCTGGTGCTCCTGCTTCAATCATAATCTTGCCGTCCTCCACCTTCGTTCCGGCAGTGACTATGCATTGTCCTGGTTTAGCCTGGTGCAGCAACGTCTGATCGAGGACTTCCTATAGTTCTATAAGCTTTTTCCATTCGTCCGCGATTTTCTCCATTATAGGGGGCCACACAGTCACGATTTTTCCACCTTCTTCAAACTGCTGCACGCACGTTTTCATTACCTCGCATAAGTCACTGTTCACTGCCAGTTGGTCTTTCGGCCAGACGATGACCCATGTGCGGTAATCCTTCCATTCTTGCAAGACTTCCTTTAGCTGGTTGAAGGTGGTGGCAACTCTTGTGAGAATGCCTCGCTTCGGACCATCTCGTTCCAATAACAGTGCTGACGCTGGAGCTGCAAATGCTGTGCCGCCTTCCTTTACCGGTCCATGGCCTTGTTCTTCGCCTTCTAATTCCATTTTGGCTCTTCTAAAGGCTGCATCGTAGATCCTGTCAAACTCGTAATTATCGATCCTTTCGTGGCGCCTTATTCCTTCGTTTTCGCAAATGAATTCAGTCCAGTCGATGCATCTTTTATACGCCACTCGCAATAGTTTCCTCAATCCATCTGGGTCCATACAAACGGCTCCATCCTTCCAGAACTTGATCTTTGAGGCCATGTCGATGTCAGTCCTTGCGAAGATGCTTGCGGCTTTCCAGGCCTTCCACAGATTTCCAATCGGTTCTTTTGCCAGTGCTCCAGGAAACTTTATTCCTTCTAACTCTCCAAGACAGACTCTCTTCAAGCATCCATCCTTACACTGGTACTCGAGGTGTCCTTTTTCGGTTTTGGATGCAATCACCGCACCTCTGAAAGAAAACATTGTTACTTTCTTTACACTAACTTTAGGTTTCCTCCCTCTTTTGCCCCTTTTAGTCACTGTATCTACGGGCTCATCGGAGATGTATTTTGGAACTATCCTTAGCATATCAAACTGAACTTGTATGGGTTCCGTTTCTTCACCTATTCTCGTAATTAGCGCGGAATTTTGGCTTGTTTCTATTACTCGAAATGGTCCAGCCCATTCTGACACTAATTTCGGATGCGTGCTCATCCCTTTCTCTTTAGGAGCCAAAAGGTATACCCTGTCGCCTACCTTCGGAAGTTTTGCGGCATCTACCTTATTCCGGTGGTCATACAGACGCTTCATCTCCCTTCTCACTCTGTCATTGTACTCTTTCACACGCTCATGTGCCTCTGCTACAACTTGCAATAACTGCGCTTTGTAATCCGCCATGTTCTCTACCATGGAGTACCAAGAGAACCCTCCACTTGGGATTACTGCTGAGGGGAAATTTGGATCCATGCCGTGAAGCACAAAATATGGACTTTCTCCCGTAGCACTATGTGGAGTAAGGTTGTATGCCATCATGCAAAACGGCAGTCTCGCATCCCATTCCACTGGAACCGCGAGGCTTTTACGCAGCATGGCCAGTATAGTCCCATTTAACCTTTCTGTTATACCGTTTTCTCGTGGATTATACCCCTTCGTAGTTACATGTTCGATTTTTGTAATTTTTGTGAGTTCTGCCATCACCTTATTTTCGAACTCTCCACCCTTATCAGATAATATTGTTTTGGGCCATCTACATCCCTCTGCTATCCACCTTATGAATAAAACCTTTGCTATCGTTTCAGCCGTTTTGTCCGGAACCGGATATGCTGCCGCATACTTTGAAAAGTGGTCAATGACCGTAACAGCATATCTGTTTCCGCTTGTTGTCAGGCCAAGTTCCAGCACGTCAATCCCTATGATTTCGTACGGCTTCTCCGTAACGATTGGTTTCAGCGGTGGTCTCAGTGTTGCTCTTGGGTTATGTAGAAAGCACCGTTGACATTCTCTTGTCCATTTACTTATGTCTGCTAGCATGTTAGGCCAGAACACCTGTTTCTTGAGTCTGTTCCATAACTTATGAGCACTAAAATGTCCGGAAAAGTTCCCCGCATGTGCTTCATGAAACACTTCATATCTTGCGGTTTTAGGTACTACCATAACCAAATTCCCTTCCTCCTGATACATCTTCAGTTCCCCGCTTTCGATCTCGAAATCGGCTACTTGTATAGGATAGCGCAACCCTGGTATTTTTATCGATTTGCCCAGCTCTCCTTTTTCCAACATGGCAATAACCGGACCAAAAACCTCATCATTTTCTAGCTCTTTTAGCCACCTACTTCTTTGTTCTACCTCTAGTCTACTCACCACGGCCTCACTTGCATCCGCATTTTCCCAGACTCCACGCTCTATAGAGCCCCTACTTAAAGCATCTGCTACGACATTAGTCTTTCCCTTCACATACTTTATTACCAAATTGTATCTTTGCATTTCTAGTGACCATCTTAGTACTCTAGCCGATACGTTACTCCTACTGAAAAGCGCTGTCAAGGGTTGGTGATCTGTCAGAACTATGGTAGGAAGTCCGTATATGAACATGTGGAAGCGTCTTACCGCGAACACTACGGCTAAAGCTTCCAAATCAGTAATGTGGTACCGCCTCTCTGCCTTGCTGAGTCCTTTCGAGGCAAAGTATACTGGGTGTACTAGCCCGTCGTCCCCCTCTTGGGACAGCACCGCTCCTAACCCTACCGTAGATGCATCTGTGCATATCACGAATGGTCGGGATCCTTCCCTTGCTTTCTCAATATCCGGCTGCATTAATACAGGCGCAGAGGCTATCATTTTCTTCAGCTTAGAAAATGCTTCTTCATGCTCTGCCTCCCATTTCCACACAGTTTTGGGTGAGGTCAACGCAAATAAACTCCCCGCTACCTTGGAAAATCCAAGGCAGAATTTGCGGTAGTATGATGCCATGCCGAGAAATGTTCTCAGCTCTTTGGAACTTTTCGGCACCGCATACCTCTCGATTGCTTCTACCTTTTTGGGATCCATGTGCACTCCTTCACAGTCGATCACATGCCCCAAGAACGCCACTTTTTCTTGCAACAAAACGCACTTCTTCGCCTTCAATTTTAGTCCCGCTTCTTGCAAGCTTTTGAATACTTTACCAAGTAGCTCAAAATGCCTCTCTCGTGTGTTTGTACATAAGATTATGTCGTCGATGTAGCAGAAAACTTCATCCCCTAATACATCTCGTAGTACTGAATCCATAAGACGTTGGAATACCGCTGGACTTGTACTCAACCCAAAAGGAGTTACTCTGAACTGGAACAACCCTTCTGTTGTCGTAAATGCCGACTTCTCCCTTGCTTCCTGTGCCAGTGGTATCTGCCAGTACCCCGAACATAAATCTAGCGTGGAGAAAAATTTCTTGCCTGACAGGCTCTGTAGCACTGCATCAATCGTAGGCAGTGGATACGAGTCAAGCTTGATCCTTTTGTTCAACTCCCTGTAGTCCACACATAGCCTCAAACTACCATCCTTCTTCTCCACTAACACTATCGGGAATGCCCAGGCTGAACTACTTTTTTCTATGATCTTCCGATTCTCCAGGTCCTCTAGAAGCTCCTTTAGCTTTTTGCGGATCCCTAGTGGCACGGGTCTGGTTTTCAGCTTCACTGGTTTAGCATCACCAGTTTCAATGGACATCTCTGCTCTGTCCGTTCCCGTCAATTCTGTGTCGAATACAGCAAACGCCTCCTCGAATTCGTCCACTAATTGTTTCAAGTCGCCATCCAGCTGCTCTACCTTGGAACCTTCCCTCAGCTGTGCATACAGGATGTTACGGCGTTCCTCCCTATCGAGGTGTGGTATCTCTTTGTCCATCATTAGTGGATTCATTTCTTCCCACTTACTTTTCCACTTCTCTGTTCCCCATTGTCCTAACTCCTCTCCTTCTTTAAGGATCATTGGCTTCTCCGTGGTGTTCATGACTGGAATGTCCAGTTCCTGATTCTTCACTGTGAACACCCCGACGGGTAGGTCCTCCCTACTTGGCCACACTACCCTCTCTTCTAGTTCACTGCCTCCTTCACATCGCGCCGGCACTAGTATTGAGTTATGTGGAGGAATGTACACCCGCTTTGTTACTACTACTCTTTTCCCGTCGAGCACATCCTGTTGCCTTTCCTCCGTTTTGAGTATTATATCGACTCCCAAGGCTGCCAATGCATTCGTGCCGATCAGTACATCATCATCCTTGACATCCGATATGTGGAATGCTACTATGCTCTTCTTTCCCCCTTCTAATTTTACAGGGACTTTAACAGCTCCCAGGAAGTTCATCCTGTTGGTCGAGGCGTCATATACCGGGTTTAACTTTCTGTCGGGTATCACCTCTAAAACATCTACGTCATAACCTGCCTTCTTCGCGCGTGCCAGCACCCCCACAGGAACAATGCTAATCATCGACCCTGTGTCCAGTATAGCTGGTACCTGCAGATTTAGCATGCTTATTTGGGCCGCACATTTCTCACCTACCAATGAACCTTTACTCCCCATATATACCTTAAGTCCTAGGCTCGTCGCTTTACCTATCACTTCGGTCAGGTTATCCTGTTTTCCGTTTTGCAGGAACCCCTTAGTTTTCTCAATCTGGTTTACTTGCGTGCGCTTATACGGACACTCTCTCCCAATATGTCCATATCTTCTACAATTGAAACATCTTCTCTGATCCGTGCCTCCTCTTTCCTCAGGCCTTCCAAGCCCTGTATAGAGCTTTTCTTGACAAGCCGGCTTCCCCGAACAACTTGTCTTCCTCCATGCCACTCCTCTTGTAGCTCTATTTTGATCCACTTCCACACATCTACTCATATCTGTCCTGCTGTTCACAGTTATTGTCCTTCGTTCGTCTGGCTCTTGTAGTTCTTTCCCACTGTGCTCATGGAACTGATACCTCTTTTTCCAATTGTACCTCTTAATTTCGTTTCCGCCATCGAGTATTTCCTTTGATCGCTCTATGCTTAACGCTAGCTGCTTTACTGTATTATAGGCTTCCTGTGGCTCTACGCTGTGAATTGCGGTGAGCAGTTGCGTATGCTCCGGCCATCCCCTCAAATTATCCATCAAAATCTGTGCATACTCGAGTGACCGGTCCCCTACCGAAGCGGTAGGATTGGCTTGCCTTCCCAGCTTCTCGAGCACAACACAAAAATCAGCCACGCTCTGGCCTTCCCTACGTTTCAGCTGCCTGAGGTCTGCTAATGCCCGTAACCTCCCCGCTGTTGAGTCGTTAGCTAAGAGTCTTTTTAGTGCTTCCGCTACGCTTTCAAAGCCCCTCGCTTTGATTTCTTCTGGAAGCGCTAAAAATACACTTTTCGCCCTACCTTCGAGGTGGTCATCCCCCATAATCTCAATTAGTACCTCATCGTCCCTTATCACCCCTCGGTATTTCCTTTTAAACCTTCTTAAAAATTCTTCGAAATTCTCGTGCCGGCCACCCCTGAACACTCCAGGGTTCACGCATGCGTTGGCCTGCATGAGAGCTAAGAGACTCTGGGACTGACCTGTCTCCGCTACGTCCTGCGAATGCTGTCTCCAGAGCCACTCTGAGTGGAGCCCATTCTGTGTCAGTGCGGACCTTGCTCTGTTCTGAAAGGAATCCGAGTGAGTGCCACTACTACTGTATCCTTCCATATTGTTCTTACCTTTACTCGGTCCCACTTCCATGCTATCTTCCATTTCTCGTGGCTTGTTAAGCACACTCTTGTGCATTTCCGACAAGACATTCATTACCTGCAATACATCCGTATTGAACATCTCGCAAATATCATTTATCATTACTATATCTTTTTCCGATGTTCTAAGAAACTCTTCTAAATCTAATACTGACTCGATGTCCCTTGTGAGTAGTAGGCTACACAAATTTCCCACAAAAAGTCTTATGTGGTTCCATTCCCCCTTCATTTTGTTTAATTCCCCACTTATTATCGTTGTTTGTTCTCCCAATACTCGCTCGATTTGTTCCCTATACTTCCCCGCTATTCTTGCATCTTCTGTTTCTTTTCGCACCCCCTCGGGAAGTGTCTGTATTGTTTTCTGTGTGTTCTCCAATCTGTCTACCATATCCGTAAGTATTTCTTCTAAATTCCTGATACTCACCTTTTTACCCGGGGCGCTAACAGTCGCGGAACTAGCCCCTCTTGGTGTCTTTCTGGCGGCACTCGAACCTTCCGCCATCTGGAAACAATCAATGATTTCCTTGTCCGTACCCTCACGTTGCAACATTATTGCGAAATCTCAATCCCTATCGATCGGTTCGGCCCCCATGTACCCCTCACCGGGTTCTGCGATAGGGATTCTACGGCTCTAAGCCGGAAATACAGAACAAGAAAATCAAACAACAAAAATTTACTACAGAACAACGACGAAAAACAACAAGGAACAAGACAAAAAAAGAAAGCCCGATCAAGGCAACCGCATGAGATGAGAATGATATCAAGTCTGAGATCCTTCGCGGGAGAATGCGGGTCTCGGCGCGCACTTCCTAAATATCCCTGTGGTTCCCGCCATAACTTCGCTTCGCGGGCTTTTCGTACGTCGATCTATCGAACGGCCCTCTCCACAGTTAACAGTGGCCCGCACAGCGAGTGGGATTGATAAATAAAGCCTCAGATCTCGCTGCAAAGGATATCCAAAGCGAGAAAAGTGCTCAGAAGGTACAAGCGGCCATGCTGTTCCGCTCATCAACGTGGGTGGTTCGGAGATAACGAGTACAAAACTAGGTTCTGATATGTCTACAACTGTCACAAATGCGCCTTTCATTACCGCCAACGAATCTGCGATTCCGTCTACCATGAAGCCTGATTTTGGATTTTTAATCTTCAGGGACCCGTCATACCTCGCCGAGAAAAACCCAAAAGCGCCCCAAAAAGCCCGAAAATCCTGAAAAAGCCCAAAAAGCCCAAAAAAGCCCGAAAGTGCCGGAACGCAGATTCGAACTTTTGGTAGAATTCTGAAATTATTTTGATGTGCAGGCGACGGAAAATGAAGCAAAAAGACTCGATTGCGAAATCAACACGCATACCTTAGCGTCAAAACGGAAGAGGCGTTTCGGCTCTTTCGGGCTCTTTTAGGCTTTTTCGGGCTTTTTCCGGCTTCTTTGGGCTTTTTTTCGGCAAAGTGTGACGGTCCCTCAGACCGCCCACGTTAATGGGCGGAGCCAGTGCGGCCGCTTCTACTTTCTGGAGCTTTTTTCTTGCTTCGCATTTCAACTTTTACAGCGAGGTTTGGGCGGCTGCTTAGAGGGCCTTCATCATATGACATCAAAATCTCGTCACCTCCGATTTGGGGGACGGTGCCCGCACGAGCGAAAAGCAGCAAACTGGGTGTGCAATCGATGTTACCTTTGTAAACCTGCTGGGGAACAAGTCATATACAATGGGAAGAAGTTCCGTTATGAGGTTGACAGATTCTCTCTGCTCCGCCCATCAACGTGGGTGGTTTACTCCTTGGATCCGCTTGGAAACGGTTTACGGGGCTCTGAGTAAAGCATTGCCCAAGCAGTGAGCAAAGGTTATTGTGCGGAGCCAACAATCTCAATTTTGTATTTCTTGAAAATATTCGTGCTGAAGTGACAAAAAGGGGTGGGGGGGGGGGGGTAGATACATGACTCAATGCCATAACTAAAACTCTTTCGCTAGGGAGAGGGTTTTACATCGCTTGCATTCTGCATGTATTGTCGCCTTCTGCGTGTGCCTTGCGCAGATTCATCAAAGGCCAAATAATAATGATTTCGTTCCCAAGCTGAACCGACAACCGCGTCCAGCCGACGACTTGCCACTTGCAGATTTTGCGCGGACGACCACCAAGGCTGCGTGGAAGGAACCACTGTGAGCAGAAATATCCCGCTAAGGTGTAGATAGTCCAATTTTCCGGGCACCTTTCTCGCTTCCGACCAAGTTATAGCTAAGCGATGACGTGCCTGAGCGCATGGGACGCAGAATTTACAACGGCTAAAATTCGCGCGCGCCGCGTTCGCGCCCGCTCAACTAATTCCTTTTGCGCCTTCGTTCGACGATAGTCTTTAACGACACCACTAACCGCGCCGGTTACTGCTTAGGAGGTTTTGAGCCTTTTCTAGTCTTTTTTTGCCTCAGTGCTGAAGTTCTGCGCTTGAACAGTGTTTCACTCGCTCTCTGTAGAACTTCAGTCCTCCTCATTTGCCGGAAATCACTTTACCTTTGCGAAAAAAAGCGTTATGGCTCAGTTATAAGTCGACGGAAGAGTCTAAAGCAGGTTTCGTCTCTCTGTTTTTTAGCAGTGGCATCGTCTTATAATTATAAAAGTGCTAGGTTATTGCAAAACATCGTGCCGTTTGACCCATCTATCTCAACAGAGATAGATACATTCTAAGATCTTTGACGTGGAATTTTTTGGAACTATGCTTTTGACGTTATTCTTTCAAGGACCGGGATAAACGGAGAGGTTTCCACCCCATCTTCCACTTTGTTCAACTTTACCTAGCTTCGAACGGTTTTATTCAGACCTTTAAAGAGATCTGATGATGAGCGGAGTGCAAAGCTTTCGTAAAGCAACACTTCGTATGTCTCCAACTGCCTTTCCATTATAGACCTTCTAACATGATTTTCCGAATGGTCATAATCTATGAATGACTGGAAAAGATCTAGAAGAAGTTTTCAAAGCTTCAGTCTATTGAGCACTAATTATACGAAGCAAATTGATGATCAGTGCGTTGAGAGAGAAAACCACATCGAATGTTCTGATTATCAATAGATTCAAATTTTTAAATCAAGCTAGAAAGGTCATCGCATTGCAAAATACTCGTGTCATCCGTCATCAAATATCTTACTAGTGTCCGGAAAGAAAATTTTGAAAATTAGCAAAATTTAGGCAAGCTGAAAATCATTAACTGGGAACTTTACGGATTATTGCAGCCCTTATCGAAAGGATACCACTTCGGACATAAAGTTGCTAGAAAGGGTAAAAGTTTGTGCTGATGTTCCTATCTTTGAAGAAAATCGAATAACTCTATAAACGTCACACTTCCGCTTCTATCTAATATTCCCCATTGTTTCCGGGCCGCTTCCTACCATTGTTTGTTCATAGGAATAATGTAAGGAGTAGAATTACATTTTGTGTTAGTCTTGCTCCGCAACGCCATTGCGGACATCGACTTAATCGTCTTCTCGAAAAGCTGAATTAAAATGAGTTTACCTTCCTATGTTTGTAACAGTCTCGAGTCAAACTTTTTTTGAAATCGTCTTTGTGCTTGTTTTGTTCCTCTTTTTCTGGCGAAGGATTCGTTTGTGCTCTATTGAAACTCTGGAGTTTGATTGCTGCCGGAAGTATTGTTTTTTCTTCAGATAAACGTTTGAGTACATTTGTACAAGCTCGTACAGCAAGACAACTTATGCACACATTCGGGCTCAATACCCAATCCAAGGTCAACTAAGAAGCACCTGCAAAAAATGAGAATTTCGCCACACCTATGTACATCTAGTATTCGGTGTTCACACATACAGTGACCGCCAAAAAGTTGCGGACAAGCCTCCCTCCCTTTTTCATCGCTCTTTTTCAGAGAGAAAACAAGGAAAAAATGTACTAATTGCATGAGGTAATAGAGCTGTTCAAGATGTACAGTCCACACTTTGAGCTTTTTGAGAAACATGTATTCTAAAAAATTTTAAGAATCTTTTTCTTAAAAAAGTCCGAAAATGGCCGCGTCACAATGTCGCGGACAATAATTCTTCGAACGCAAAAATTTTCTTTTGAGTCTTATTTTAGAGCGGAAACACAAGTTATCCGGACGGATAAGCATACTATTATACAGAGCTCGTCAAGAACTACACACTGATTACGGTTGTTTCCCCAAAAAACGCAAGCTTGAGTTTTATTTTACTTTTTTCAAAAAACACTTCTAATTCCCTTTATCAAGCCAAATTTCCTCACACGGAAACCTGTTCAGACATCCCAACAAAGCCGTTTGGATAAAATAGATGCTCTTTGCCATCCTCTATGCATCGGAAATGTGCTGACGAGTTTCTTTGCCGAAATTGGCCCTTGGCAGTGCTTGCACATGACCCCACCTGCACCTCACCACTGAGTTGTACCGCTTTGCAGGCTTGTAACTCGGCCTGCATCAATATTAGAGCCTGCAATTAGGCTCATTCGAAAGAACGAGACTTCCTCTACACGAAGATATGCAAATAAGTTCAGTTTGACCAATCGCAGAGACTTGGCGGATGGGGTGGTAGAGGGCAGCATCAGTTGTAGTCTAAGCACTTTTCAGCTGAAGTTGAAGAGAGCTTTCGCTACCAATTTCATCCTGGAAGTTCAAAACTGTCAACTTTCTTGTAATAGACCCATATCGAAGCTCTAAGACTGTTCTGATGTTCATAAGAGCTTTCACTCCAAATACCTCTAAGGCTGCACTTTTTCACCCCATTCGCCAAATCTCTGAAATCTCTCAAACACAACACATTTGCATACCATCGTGTCCAGGAAGTCACGCTCTTTTGAATGAGTCTACTTGCAGACTCTTATAATGTCTGGAGGCCGAGTTACAAGGCTACAAAGCAGTGCAAGTCAGCGGTGAGGTGCAGGTGGGGTCATGTGCAAGCATTGCCAAGGGCCATTTTTAGCCAAGAAACTCATCAGCACACGTCCGATGCATAGAGGATGGCAAAGAGCATCTATTTTATCCAAACGGCTTTGTTGGGATGTCTGAACAGGTTTCCGTGTGAAGAAATTTGGCTTGATAAAGGGAATTAGAAGTTGTTTTTTGAAAAAAGTAAAATAAAACTCAAGCTTGCGTTTTTTGGGGAAACAACCATAATCAGTTTGTAGTTCTTGACGAGCTCTGTATAATAGTATGCTTACCCGTCCGGATAACTTGTGTTTCCGCTCTAAAATAAGACTCAAAAGAAAATTTTTGCGTTCGAAGAATTATTGTCCGCGACATTGTGACGCGGCCACTTTCAGACTTTTTTAAGAAAAAGATTCTTAAAATTTTTAGAATACATGTTTTCAAAAAGCTCAGAGTGTAGAATGTAGATCTTGAACAGCTCTATTACCTCATGCAATTAGTACATTTTTCATCCTTGTTTTTTCTCTAAAATAGAGCGATGAAAAAAGGAGGGAGGCTTGTCCGCAACTTTTTGGCGGTCACTGTACATCTCTTGACCAGGAAACCGCTACTTGTACTGGAGATCAGTAAC